AGGGGCCCCCGGAAGCCGCTTCAGCTGCCCAGCATCCAGTACCCCAAAGGGGGCCCCCGGGTCTAGGCTTGGTAGCTGCAGGGCCATGGGGTAGCTTCCGTTGGTGGGCCCTGCATGCAAACCCTAAACCCTAAACCCTAAACCCTAAACCCTAAACCCTAATTCCTAAACCCTAAACCCTAAACCCCGGCTCTGCGGCTGCTCAAACTCACACTTCAAAAAAGAAAACTCGTCCTGCTGCTGCTTGCTGCTGCTCCGGTCATCCTGCCTCTGCAGCTGCTGCTCCAGCTGCTGCAGCTGCTGCAGTTGCTGCTGCTGCAGCTGCTGCTGCTGCAGCTGCTGCAGCTGCTGTAGCTGCTGCAACTGCTTCTCTGCCACTGCTGCTGCCAGGGAATCATCTCCCGCATCCCCCTGCTGCTCCTGCCGCTGCTGCTGCTCTTCCTTAGTCCACAGACTGTCGTTCTGCTGCTGCTGTTGCTGCTGCTGTGCCGCATCTGCTGTGGCTGCTGCTGCTGCTGCTGACTGCGGCTCTGTCTGGGTGATGTCGCCTTTGACTCTCAGTGCAGCAGCTTGCTGCTGCTGCTCGGCCAGCTGCAGAAGCTGTTGCTGCAGCAGCTGTTGCTGCAGCAGCAGCTGCTGCTCCTGCCCCCCAACAGGAAGAGCCGGTGCAGCAGCAGCTGCAGCAGCTGCCACTGTTGCAGCAGCAGCGTCCTCTGCGCTGCCGGTGGTGTCTTGCTGCTGCTGCTGCTGCTGCTGCTGCTGCTGGGCCGCAGCTGTACCCAGAACACCATTGGTCTGCGCTGCTGCTGCCGGCTGCGGCGTGTTGGACCCCTCCTTCTGCTGCTGCTGCTGCTGCTGCTGCGGCAGCAGCGGCAGCGCAGCAGCAGACAGCAGCGCGGGGTGAGAAGCACCTGAGAGCTGCGGAGGCAAAGGAATTGCTGCTAGGGCAGCAAGAGAAGCCAACTTGTCTGCTGCTGCTGCTTGCTGCTGCCCCTCAGGGGCCCCCCCAGCCCCGGGGGCCCCCAAGGAGGGGGGCCCCTCAAAGGGGGCCCCCGTGAACACTGGGGGGCCCCCAGGGGCCCCCGGAGTTGCTGCTGCTAAGCCCAGACTTTCAAGAGCAGCAGAAGAGACAAAAGAGCTGTCTGTTCCATATCCTAAACAATCGGGCAGCAGCAGGTGCTGCTGCTGCAGCTGCTGCTGCAGCTGCAGCTGCAGCTGCTGCTGAAGCTGCTGCTGCAGCTGCTGCTGCAGCTGAGGGGGAAATGCAGCAACAGTTGCAGCATAGTCTGCGCCCAACCCGCAAGCCTCGCCGCCCCGAGGGGCTCCTGCTGCTGCTGCTGTAGCTGCTGCTGCTGCTGCTGCTGCTGCTGCGTTGTCAGGCAAAATCGCTGGGGCTGAGGCAGCGTCGCCCACCGCAGCAGCAGGTGCTGCTACTGGTGCTGCATCAGCTGCTGCTGCACCTGCTGCAGCTGCTGCTTCTGCATCCGCTGCAGCAGCTGCTGCATCTGTTGACGCTACTGTGGACCCTGCTGCTGCAGCTTCTGCTGCTGCTGCTGCTGCTTCTGCCTCTGCCAAAGCAGCCGTCGGCGAAACAGCGGTTGTCCTTGTTGCTGCTGCTGCTGCTGCGTCGAGAGGCGCAGCTGCTGCTGAAGCAAGATCCTGCTCCTGTGGTGCTTCCCCTTGCTGCTGCTGCTGCTGCTCCTGGCCTGAAACAGCAGCAGCGGGTGCGTCACTTGCTGCTGCTTCCTGCTGCGGCTTCGGTTGAGGCAGGGCACTGTGTGCTGCGGCAGCAGGAGACTCCACTACCCCTGCAGCAACTGCAGCAGCAGCAGCTGCTGCTGCTGCAACTTGCTGCTGCACATGCAGCTCGCTAGCCTCTGCAGCAGCAGCAACTGCTGCTGCTGACTCAAGGGCAGCAGCAGCAACGCGCTCCCTTGCGGGTGGCTGGACTTCGATTTGCTCAAGCATCTCTGCTGCTGCTGCTGCTGCTGCTTCTGCTGCTCGCGGCCATCAGGCTAATCTGCTGCAGCAGCTGCTGCTTCTGTTGCTGCTGTTAGTGCTCAGAGTCCCCCCCCGCATTCAACAAAGCAGCAAGCATCAGCTGTGACGTCTTCCTGTGCTGGGTGGCATGGCTTGCTGCTGCTGCTGCTGCTGTTGCTGTTGCTGCTGCTGCTGCTGCTCCAGCTGAACTGCCTCCTTCCTCAAATGCTGCGGCAGCAGCAGGAGACAGCACGGCAGGATGCACTTGAAAAAAAAGAAATTGCAGCAGCTGGCGATGCGCTTGATGCAGCAGCAGCAGCTGCCGACACTGCAGCAGCAGCAACGGCAGCAGCAGCAGCAGCAGCACCTGCTGCTGCTGAGAGTGCTGTTGCAGCGGAGGGCCCTATCTAGTTCTGCTGCTGTTGCAGCCCCTGCTGCAGAGTGGTGCTGCTTCTGCTGCTACTGGAGTTGCGCCGCGTTCGCCGCCGCCGCAGCAGCAGCAGCAGCAGCAATTGCAGCAGCAGCAGCAGCAGCAGCTGACGCCGGCGACGCGGTTTATTGGGAGCACTGCGGCAAGGTGAGAGAGCATTAAAGTGTGGAGTTGATCAGTCAGCAGCAGGAGTCTGCTGCTGCTGCTGCAGCTGGCGCTGCTGCTGCGGATGCTGCGGCAGTTCCTGCAGCAGCTGCTGCTGCTGCTGCTGCTGCTGGTTTTGGCAACCCGGCAGCGTCATGCAGCACTCACTGATAACCAATATTCTGCTTTTTAGATAAACGCCTACAATAAAGCTGCACTTGTTTCCTCGGGCAGCAGCAGCAGCAGCAGCAGCAGCAGCAGCAGCATGCGCCGCAGCTCCAACGGTCTGGGTGTAGCTGTGCTGCTGTTGCTGCTGCGGTGCTGCTGCAGCAGAGGAGGTGCTTCTGTGGGACAGCCAACAGGAGACACACAGGGGCGTAAAAATGAAATTAGAGTTAAGGGTTTAGGGTTTAGGGTTTAGGGTTTGCGGCGGGGAGGTTTGCATGCAGCGCAGCACAGGATGCTGACCAAAGGTGGATGCGGCGTCCGGAGGCTTAGCGGGTCATTTTGTGTGTTTCTTTTCGTTTTTTGCATCAAAATAAATGAAAAAATATAATTAGTTTTATTTTAAACATTAAAACGCACAATTAAAGCTGCGGAATGGACGCACCGAGCCGCGCTGCAGCAGCAGCGGTTGCCGCTTCAGGTGCAGTCTGTAGGGTGGTGTTGGGGTCTAGTTTTCCGCCAAAATCTCCAACAAAGATAATAAATGCTTTTTAAATGTCTTTATGTTCATTCTGGCTTCTTAATGGCCTTTAGAAGCAGCCCGCAGCGGCGCAGCAGCTCGCTGAGGCGCAGCTGCTTCTGTACAGACACCGGAGCGATTGTTTAGTTTCAGATGTACGTACACCCCGTTTCACCCCTCCAAACTCCCGCCTTTTTGTTTCCTTTTGTCCCTCAGTGTCTTATTGGCTTTTTGCGCAGCAAGAGGAGCCCAAAAGGCCTTTTGAAACTTTTCCCTAACTCTCCTTTTGCCGGCTTCCCCGCTGCGGAGCAGCAGGTGTACGTACACCTGAGAGCCACGCGAACTCGCGCAAAGGCGCATGCATGCAAAAGTAGATAAAGAAGGGCCTGTTTGCGCGAGACACAAATAGGCCTTCTGCAATAAACATAAATAAACAAAATAAAACAAAATGCGCTTCACTTATATATATAAACCGCCAAGAAACTGCAAACAGATGCACTAAGTCATTCAAATCCAAGTGCTGCACAAGTCGCTGCAGCAGCAGCAGCAGCAGCAAATCTGCGCATGCAGCGGTGGGGCAAAAGGCAAAATGAAGACACGAAAGCTGCTGCTGCAGACACACCTGACTCAACTTGTCTTTTTGTTTTTGTTTGCTGCTGAAGTGCCACAAATTTGACAGGCTGCTCAGCCAAACGAGAAGGGCAAATGGGCCTTCCCTGCAGCGGCAGCAGCAGCGCTGCTGTCACTTTTCTGCTGCTGCTGCTGCTGCTTCTGCTGCTTTAGTGTCTTTCTCGGCTCGCAGCAGCAGCTAGACAACAGAGTCGAAACACACTTTAGAAGCCACAGGGAACAAAAGACATCGAAGCGTTAGCTGCAGCTAGCAGCGAGCACAGCACTGCAGCAGCTGCAGCAGCTGCAGCAGCTGTGAGCAGCTGCTGTGCACTGCAGCCGCAGCTGCTCCACTCAGCAGCAGCAGCAGCAGTCAGCAGCAGCTGCTGCGCATATATATACACACGGTGGGAAGCACCGAACTGCTGCGCGTCTCTGCATACTTAGTTGTGTCTGCTGGGGGCAACAGCAGCAGCAGCAGCTGCTGCTGCTGCAACGGCTGCTGCTGCTGCTGCTGCTGCTGCTGCTGCAACAAAAACCGACTTTAACTTCGAAAAAAAAACGCGCCTGCTGCTTCTTAGCCTAGAGTTGACACCTACTCAGTGCCAAAGTACCTGACACACAGCACGCGCAACAGGAGCAGCAGCAGCAGCAACTGCAGCAGCAGCAGCACTATAACTGCAGCAGCAGGAGCAGGAGCAGCAGCAGCAGGACCTGTCTCCGAAGTCTCCAATGCCTGGCACAAGGAAGTTTTTGTCATTTAGCCCCGCCTCAATGCTGCAGCAGAAAACGCATGCAACTTCTTTGCAGCAAATGAACATTTCTACTCTTAATCTTTTTATTTATACTTTTCATTTAATTTGGTGTTATTCTAAGTTATTTATTCACACCTGCCAAAAAAAATATAAAACAAAACCACGACTACAAACCCCAAACCCTCATAAACCCTAAACCCCAGCAAGCCCCGCGAAACCCTAACAAGCCCCAGCAAAGCCCGCCGAGCCGCGCTAAACCCCGCAAACCCCAAACCCTAAACCCTAAACCCTAAACCCTAAACCCTCACGAGGCGCAGACAATGCGGATGTTGGGGTGCTGCTGCAGCACTTTGTGGAGCCCGGGCGGCGCAGCCATGAGAGTGGCGAAGACAATTTTTTCCTCTTCGACTCCGCAGCTCTTCAGCACCGACACTGCGCGGCAGACGCTGCCGCCCGTCGCGCACATGGGGTCCATCAGCAGCACGCTGCGCCGGTGCACGTCCGCCGGCAGCTTCGCGTAGTACAGCTGCAGCAGCAGCAGCAGCAGCAGCAGCAGCAGCAGCAGCAGCAGCAGCGGCGGCGGCAGCGGCGGGGGGTGGGTGCGGCGGCGGCGGCGGCGGCGACGCGCGCAAACGGCGGCGCGTCAAGGGGCGCGCAGCCCTCAGAACCCCAGCAGCAGCAGCAGCAGCAGCAGCAGCAGCAGCAGCAGCAGCAGCGGCAGCGGCAGCAGCGGGTCCGCGGGAAGCAGCAGCGGCCCCGCGACGGCGCAGCCAGCAGCAGCAGCAGCGGGTCCGCAGCAGCGGCCGCAGCAAACGACGCCGCGCGAAGCAGGACGACCCCGGCGCCGCGAAAACGCGCAGCCGCAGCCGCAGCAGCAGCAGCAGCAGCAGCAGCGGACCACCGGCTCGGAGGTCTTCTCGTCGCGCTGAATCAGAATCTTGCCGATGGCGCAGCCCCTGCAAACTGCGCGCAGCGCAGACTCCATGGACTCCCCGGCCCGCACAATGGAGACCCCGCAGAGGCCGCTGGCGAAGGCCAGGCCTTCGTAGGTG